AAAGTGGGTCCTTCCCCCTGTTATTTACTATCTTCACTGTTTTCCTTTGCAGCACTTATTACAGAACATAATCATTTTATGTCTGTTGGCTTAAGTTTTGTCTGCCTCTTTGGCTGGAATGTAGCTCTGTGGAAGCAAGGACCCCTGACCTGTTTAGCTCACTGTCGCATCCCCAGCAGAGATCATAGTACATATATACAATAGTTTATTAGTAAATATTTATTGAATGAATGAATGAATGAATGAATATATAAAGAGATTAGGCAGTCTACTGAACTTCACTATTTTGACTTAGACTATTTTGGTTGCAAAAGCTCTCATATTCAAATGTCAAGGGTCTCCAACAAGTAAAACAGAGTTCTGAGAGACTGGCTATGAGGTTCACAACCTACCGTGGCTTCCTTTTTGTTTGTTTGGTTAAGACAGAGTTTTGCTCTGTTGCCCAGGCTGGAGTGTAATGGAGCAAACTTGGCTCACTGACATCTCCACCTCCTGGTTTCAAGCGATTCTCTTGCCTCAGCCTCCTGAGTAGCTGGGATAACAGGCATGTGCCACCACGCCTGGCTAACGCCCGGCTAGCTTTTGTATTTTTAGTAGAGACATGGTCAGCCAGGCCAGTCATGTTGGCCAGGCTGGTCTCGAACTCGTGGCCTCAAGTCATCCACTGGCCTCGGCCTCTCAAAGTTTTGGAATTATAGGCATGAGTCACCGCACCTGGCCTCCACCTTGGCTTCCTTCTAACAAATGATACTGGGACAAGGGGAGAGGCAGGGTGGACATGGGAGGAGGATGCGTGATTTAATCCCTAAGTGTATGTTCTAATTATAAAAAAGTGATTTCATCAAAAACAAAGCATGAGAAACAGCCAGGAAGAGCTAAGAAGACATGCTGATGAAAGAACCCTACTATAATATTCTAGATGGGCTTCTGGAACAAAGGATATTAGGGGGAACTAAGGAAATCTGAATAAACTATGGACTTTAATTAATGTATCGATATCTCATTTCTTGTAAGAAATATACTATGCTAATGTAAGATAATAATAATAGAGGTCTTGTGCTTTAAGATGATTAATCTGCCAGTCAAGTGTAGAATGGATGCAGGAATGGGGTATATGGGAACTCTCTGGGGGAAGTGTGTGTGTGCAGAGATAGAGTCTGGCTCTGTCACTCAAGCTGGAGTACAGTGGTACAATCATAGCTCACTGTGGCCTCAAACTCCTAGGTTCAAGCAATCTTCCTGCCTTATCCTCCAGATTAGCTAGGACTACAGGCACACACCACCACACCTGGCTATTTTTTAAATAAAACTTTTTGTAGAGATGCAGTCTTTCTATGTTGCCCATGCTTGTCTTGAACTTCTGGCCTCAAGTGATTAAGTCTACATTTTAAAAAAACAGTTATCTACACTCTCATTTGACATGTTAAAGTCCTGTGGTTGGTAATAACAGCTATCAAATGCTAAATGCTACCAATATGGCAGGTACTGTTACATATATTATCACATTTAATCCTTAGAACAACTCAAGAGGTAGGAAGCATTATCCCTATTTGGAGAATAGGGAAATTGAGGCTTACAGGTTTCCAGGGACACAGCCGTAGTCACATATCAAGTAAGTGACAAACCCAGGAGTTGAACTCAGGGTCTTACCTTCTCATTACCCCCAAAGAATGTTGGCACATGTCAGATTGTCTGATTTGATTTTTACAGTAGGAAAAATGGCTCCCTTAGCTACCACACCCTTCTGTGCTACTCATTTCTATCCTCCAGACCACAGCACCAGTTTGGGCCCTTGTTACTTCTCCTTTGCAAAACTTTGACAGCCTCTTACCCAGCCTCTCCATCTCCACTCTCTGCTTTCCAGTCCATTGTACACATGGCTGGCAGATTAATCATCTTAAAGCACAACATCCTTTATATTCCTCCCCTCCAGAAACCCCCTAATGCCTATTGAAAAAAATCCAAACTACCTTCTCTGACCCAAATTTTCATATTTGACTTGGCCCTACACCAGTGTCCGGTGGCTCCACATCCTATTTCCCAACAAGTTCTCCATCTGGCTTCTATTTTAAATTCATTGAAAGTAGAATGGCATCATACTGAAAGTAAAAAATTGCCAAAACTGAGGGCAATTTATGCAACTGCTGAGATTCAGCCCAGATCCTCAGAGGAAATTGATATGTAATGAAAAAAGAGATATGCAATCCACCATCCCATCACAGAAGGCAGAATGAACTAACTGCTAAGCCAGAGGAAGAGAGTAACAAGGGAGGGAAGGATTCATTACAACTAGAGGATCCTGGAAGGCTTCTTAAAAAGGGGCCATTTGAGCCTATGGGATGAGTAGATTTTGGCAAGGAGAGAAGGGAAATGGCACTCATGATTTCCTCAATCCCAGAAAGCCCCTGTCCCAGCTCTGAATGTCCCAACTGACACATTCTCCCAGGCCCTACTTATTCTCTGCACCTCCCTTGGTATACCCCACTTTTCACAATAATCACTCTTTCTACCTTGCATTATAGTTAATTGTGTACATGCCTTATTTCTCTAAGCCATAGGTCTTTGAGGAAATGGAATGTATTCATTTCATTTCTGCTTCCCCATCCATTCAGCGTAGAACTGGCCCATCACCAGCCTCTAATATATGCCTGGAATGTATGGATAAGTGAGTGTGAATTTAAACAGCTTTAAAAAGTGTTCAGATGCCTTCAGACATTTATTTAATACTATGAATTAAAACATCAACTCTGTGCGAGGCATTTGTGCTAAGTGTTGAGGATAAAAGTGGTACACACTGGCATGGACCTACCCTCAAGAAGTCGATCATATAAAGGCATGGCAAATACCAAATAAATGAATAAATATTTGTTGAGTTGTAATTGTGACTATTTTTTAAGAAGGAAAAATAGAGAGCAACAATGACAGATGATATGTACCTAGATTCACAAGTTGCCAGGCACTGGCACTAGGCACTACCCACGTGTTAACTCATTTGGTCCTTACCACAGTCCTAAGAGGTACAACCTTTTTACAGATGAGAAAACTGAGACACAGGAGAGTCAAATAACTCCCCAAGACTCACAGCTAGTAATTAGTGTTGCTAGTAATATGGGAGAATTTCACAAAGGGACCTAATCTAGTCTGTCTACTTAGGGAAGGCTTTCCCAGGTAAGTGACATCGAGCTGAGGCCAGGAGGGTGAATAAAGGTGGGCCAGGCAAATAGGCCACTGTGGGGAGTGTTTCGGGTGGGAAAGCCTGGAGGAGGCCAGGGGCTTAGCTAACTTGAAGAACCGAAAGGAAAGCAGTGAAGCTGGTGGTGAGGTAGGCAGAGGCCATGCTAAGAAATTTGTATTTTATGCTAAAAACAATGTACACTTTAAGTAGAAAAGATGATCCGACTAGAGCTTTGAAAAGCTCATCCTGGCAGCTGTAGAGGAGAATGGATGGGGACCCTGTCGCACATATTTCCTATATGTGGTTAGGATATGAGTTGAATGGTGAGTTGAATTGGGTATTGGGAGTGCAGATGGAGGGGTGTCAGATTTGCTATATTTAGGAGAGAGAAGTAAGAGAATTTGACACTTGGTTATGGCAGCTGTGAGAGATGGAGTGTTGAAGATGGACCCCAGGATTCCAACTAGGGTGCATGGGTGGCTGGTAGTACATTTAGTAAGATGGGGAAGATGGAGTTCAGATTTAAGGGGAAGATGAAGACTGAAGTCCTGGTCATTGAGTTTGAAGCCCTATGAGCCATCTCTTGGATGCGTGTTCAGCGGCCAGGCTGGGGTGGAGAGGTACATGTGGGAGTTGAGGCTTGTATCTGTGGACCCACAGAGAAGAGAGCCAAGCCCTGCCCCAAGGTGCCCTCGTGCTTGCAGGTCCTGCCTGCTTCAGATGTTGCTGGTGATAACCTACATGCCACATTTGACAGGGCTTCCAAACTAAGCCATCTGAGAAAGGTCTTATGATTCATGGCTTAGATCCTGTCCCTGAGTAAAAAATCTGTGAGTCCTTGAAATCTTTTTGTCAGTTGCTCGAACTGTTGATGTACTGATTAATATGTAAAAACTGACATTGAAAAGAACACTTGACTTGTTTCTGAATCATATAAACTTTGATTTTCTTGTGCACAAAACATTTTAGGCTGTATGTTGTCATCTGAAGCCAGTGACTATAACCTGTGTACCGCACCCTCTGATGAAAAAAAACCCAACTCTGACATGAGGGGTCCTCCTCCCTTTGCCTAAACTTTCTTCTAAACTCTTCCAACGTGTAACACATTTTGAAACATGCCCAACTTTGCTGGTAAGTCTTCTTGGGTGGATCCTCACATTTAGCTTCCGATAAATCAAATTATTTCTACCTCAACAGCCTTAATTTCCGTGGACACTTAGAGTATTTCCTTCTGTCTTTCTATCATCCACTTCCTGTGAGCTGTTCAGAAGCAGCTCTCTGCAGCCTCAACACCCACCTACCTGCAGGCCGCCCCTCTGCTGGCTCCCAGAACAAGGCTCTGATTGGGATGGCAGAGGAAAGAGAAACGCGAGCAGCAGCGCTACTCAGGCCTCAGACGGGTCATACTCCACACTCACCAGCGTTTCCACGCCACCATCTCACGCGGAGCTCCTGGAAGGGTCCAGCGCTCCCGCTGCAAGGGACCGTCTATCTACACCGCTCGATTGGCCTTTTACGGCACTGACTGTTCTTTGAAGTTTTTACAGCTCCTTCTAACCCATTTCACTGTGTTGGAAATGTTGGGGGTGGGGCGTAAAGGGGGCCATCCCGTCCACAGAAAGAGTAGCTTGCAGAAATGATTTTAAAATTCCCGGGTGCCGGGACCTGAGGAGAACGCGGGCGGGAGGGACGGGAGAATTTTCAAAGGTGCAGCTCAGTGGGAAAATCCCTTTGTCGGAGAGAGGGCCCGAGGGGCGCGGGATGCAGCCGCGCCCACCCCGCCTCGCGTCACCGCGTCTCCGGAAGTTCCACGCCCCTGGGTACTCGGTTTCCCCGGATGGTTCCGGAAGAGCGCCGCGCGGCTGGCTGAGAGCGCAGGGCAGGCCCGGAGGCCCGTTCGGCAGCCGGGGCGACGCGTAGGCGCAGGGCCAGAGGGAAGCGCTTTGTTTCGCGCGTGGTTCCCGCGCCTCCGGGCGCGCGGGAGAGGCGCGAATCCGAGTGCCGCGCGCGCCCCGGGGACTTACACCGGCTGAGCGCGCGAGGTGGGACCGCAGGAACCTGAGCGCTCGGGTCCCCGCCCCGCCCCGCCCCGCCGGCGGCGGAGGCAGCGAGCGCGAGAGCCCAGCGGGGTCGCTGGGAGCTGGAGGCACCGAGACACAAAGGCAGGCGGGATGCGGGAGCATCTGGGGAGCAGGCAAAGGGAAAGCGAAAGCCGCGCGCCCGGCCAGTGACAGGGTGAAGGCGCCGCGCAGCTCTCCCGACGCCGGCAGTACCAAGTCCTGCCTGGCCGAGCCTGGCGCGCCGCAGCCATGGCCATCGCCCACCTGGCCACGGAGTATGTGTTCTCGGATTTCTTGCTGAAGGAGCCCACCGAGCCTAAGTTCAAGGGGCTGCGACTGGAGCTGGCCGTGGACAAGATGGTTACGTGCATTGCCGTGGGGCTGCCGCTGCTGCTCATCTCGCTGGCCTTCGCGCAGGAGATCTCGATTGGTAAGCCTCGCCCAGGACGGAGGGGAGTGGCTGCCCCGGTCTGGCCCGGTGAGCTGCGATTTTACGGCTCACAGGCCCGAGCCTGGGCACGCCCAGCTGTGATGGTAGTGAGCGTCAGGAAGGGCAGTGGTCCCGGTTTTATGGTCCAAAGCGTTCTTTGCCCAGGTGTTTGTTTCTTTGGTACCCTGGTCTACTCTGCTCGCATCCCTACTCCTCAGTTTTGTTCCTTATGCCCCCACTGATCGGATTGTGGCTTACAGTTTATGTTCCACCCTTAGAATTGGCACCTTGCCACCAGATTTAACAAGAATAGCTGTGTCCCCGTTTTTCACCCCTGTCAGCCGCTTTTAAGCAGCCGCTTAAAATTTTGCACCGGAGAAGTTCCTGAGTGGCTACATGGAGAATGTGAAGACCGGTGCTCCATGAGAAGTGTGTTCTTTCACTATCTTACATATAATTGGTGTTTGCTGAGATCTTAGCTCTCTAGGGTTGTGCATGATGGGAAATATCTGCACTTGGCAGGCATTAGAGGGATCCTCCACTTGGACGGTCTTACGAATGTGAGATGAACAAGTCCCCTTCCTGTAAATTCTCATTTGAGCTTCATAACTGTTGTGTGAGATGGGAAAGTCTGGTGATTTGGGCAGGATCGTGTGGCTATGTGGCTTATCTTCCTCATCAGCTGTTCTGACTTTCCACACAGGAGAGAGTGTTTATGAACCAACAGGAAGGTAGTTCAGGAAGGTTAAATACAGTTCTGTGGCAGGGAGAAGAGAGAGGACCCAGTGCGACTGGACTTTGGGAAAACTTTGTCAGAAGGTGGGTGGGATTTGGATAAGCAGGAGTAAGACCTTTGTGAAGGTTTTGAGATGGCAGAGAATGTTATATGTTCCTGGAAAGAGAGACACAGTGACCGTCCTAGCCAAGGCAGGAAGATAAGTCAGAGTTCCTGGAGTCTGAGAGTGAATATGGGCCTGGGTCAGCCTGGAACAGAAGAGTGTAGGCTGATGGTTTCAGAACTGTGAAGTTATTGTTTGAGCAGAGGACAGACTGGTTGAAAACAGCACTAAGTAAATACTAGCCTGATGGTGGCATTTAGGGTCTGGGAAGAAGGTGAGAGGATGGGGCCTGGAGGGCTGGGTGCTAGAGAGCAAGGCATCAGTTGAAGTCTTGTGCACAGCAGGTGTGGAGAGTGGAAGAAAACAGGTGGGTGATTGCTGTGAGATCAAGGAGTAAATAAGCAGCACTTGAGTACCTAGTTTTTCATAGGCCATGAAGGGCAGTACTGGTTGAATGCGCTGTGGAGGTTGTATGTCTGGATGATTGGAGTGTGGTGTTGGTGGGAATTGTGAAGTTGAGGGAAGAGCTGATTAGGAAAGAGTGACGGTGAGTGTGATTTTGCAGTCTGCAGCATTAAGTTGTTCAGTTTCGCAGGAAGTTGCCAAATTCATGGTGGAAAATAAGTTTTTCGTTTTCCTGCATTTGCATAGGCATAGTCATCGGGATTTTCTTTAACTTTCCGTTTGACAGTGAATTGAGGCTTCCAGCTGAAAGGAAACCACCAAGTAGCATGAGTCATGGAGATAATCTCTCCCTTCAGTCAATTCCTCCTTCAGTACTGGCTGTGTGCTGAACTCGGTGCTGACCTCCAAGCACCCGGGAGTAAAAGAGGCATGGTCCCTGTCTTGGAGGTGCAAGTCTTGGGTACCTGGTTGGGACAGAAAGGCAGGAGGGAGGAGTTAGTCACCCTCTATGACTAGTCTCCACCTCTAGCGCATGTACTAGAGGGACTCTAAGGCACCTGCACCTGTAATGCCTTAGATACATCTAAATTGGTGGGCTGAGAGGTATTTTTGGTGTATTGGGAGTGGTTTTACCTAGCAAGAGTCTGAGGTCATGTTGTGTGCATAGCACTGTGTGCTGAGGGAGATGGGAAAGGATTTTGAGACCTTGTTCTTGCCCTGTCTTCTCCCTGCCCTATGGCAATTTACTATGCAGTTGGGCGCTAGAACATATCTGTTAGCAGGTAACACCATTCAGCTGTGTGTAATTCAGCACCCAGACAGGTGTTGAGCTATGAGCTCCAGGCTGGTGAAGGTTGGCAGGCACTTGGGTGAGGAGCTATCGAGCAGACTCCCATGTTTTCTGAAGTGTTTTCAGGAGTTCCAGGGGAGGACGGACATGTAGGATGAAGCTAACAGGACCAGGGAAGACCTATTAGATCAGGTATACATTTAGATAAAACCAGAAGAAGGGCTTTTGAGAAGAGGGGAGAGGTACATAGACTAATACATGGAGTTGGTACAGTGAGAGGGATCATGTTATGCAGCATTTAATTTTGTGTAGTTAGTAGTATGCACTCAGCCAAAAGAGATGAGAACAACAATAAAGGGAGAATGAAGTAATTGAAATGGAGCTGGCACTTTGCCCACCATATTGGTCAATGAACACAAGCCCCAGGAGGACACTGAGATAAGGCCTGCAGACTTAAAACATGGCTTCATCCTCCCTCTGCTGATAATTACTCCTTCCCTCTCTGGTGCTTGGAATACTGTTCTGTTGAACTTAATACAGAGCTTTATAACTTGTCTATGCGTGTTTTGCATGGAGATTGAAACTACTCTATAAACATTTGTTGAGTGAATGAAAGGTGATAGCTTTTGGCATCATCAGACGTTGTTGATTGATTCTGGTGTGCATGATGTTGTACCTTGGCAATGGGGTGTCAGACACACATAGGACTTAAGAATCTTTTCTCTGGAAGCACAGTCTAGTGGAGAAGTTGAATGCATAACCCTCCTAATACAGGATTCATGAAACCTGGGCAGTGTCCGAAGTGTATACTAAAGCCTAATGCTGTGGGAAGGCAGAAGGAAGGGTTTTTTTCTGACTCAGGAACGGTAAGAGTTTCAGGGCAGAGTTGGCCCCTGAGGCAGGATTCCAAGTGTGTGGAGCAGTGTTGGCTGAAGCTGAGATGTGCGAGACAACATGTGGCCGCTGGAGCTTTAGCTTTAGCGGCACAGTCACATGGAGAGGTGGAAGCCAAAGTAAGGGTCCAGGGGCTCCACATGAAAGAGGGCACAGTAAATCCCATTGTTTTCCTGTTTGTGTTGGGCTGTGTGTGTATATATATAAAATTAGAAATGAGAAAATCAACCGTAATTACATGTTTTTCCTTTTTCCACCTGCATGATAAACTGGTATATATAAGAATTCATCTCTTGTGATATAAAATCCCCTCAAGCGTAAAATAAATTATATTTTCCAGTGACTTCCCCAAAATTAAATTCTCTGTCAACTGGTATTTGGTAAAATAGGATTCAAGTTGAAATGCTGTGGTGATTTTTCCTTTAAATAAATGATTTTTAACTTTAAAGGTAATCCATTAAATCAAAACTGTGCATGGATTGTGTTTTAGATTTAAGAGCAGATCCTCTGTAGGGGTGGGGGTGTTGCAGGTTAGAGAGAGGGAATGTCCTCATATGATAAAATACTTGGCTTCATATTAAAGGCTTCCCTTTAGTCTTTGGCCTGTTCTCTTAATAGTTCAGCCCAGTGGGCTCCTCTCAGAAAAGAGGGACTGAGCCTGCCCGGGCCACAGAGACCCATGGGCATGGCAGCGAGCTGACCTTTATCAAGCCCTGCCGGGTGGCAGCACGGTGGCTGCAGGTGAAGCGTCCACTCCTTGGAGGTTCTGGCCCCTCCCCTCCCACAGCAGTTCACACAGGTCCCACGTGATAGGCACTGGTGTGGGGCTGCCTGGGCTGGTGGGGACTGTGTTGGGGACAGAGAGCAGAAGGGACTCTGCCTTGCTCATTCACCAGATCTTGGTCTGTCTGCCCACAATCACAGGTTGAGGGTCACTGCAGAAGTAATGTGGTCTGGCGGGGGCATAGCAAGGTTGATGCCATGGTCAAGGTGGAGGGCAACTTCGGTAGTCTTTGCAGCAGCCTGTGGTCCGCAGCCACTCATTGGTCCAGATCTGCCCTGTGATAGTGAGAATTACAAGCAGAAACACTCCTGAGGGAGTGTCAAGGAGACTCTTCTGAGTTGTGCCTGGGAGCATTTTGAAGGCTTTTAGACAGTGAGATACTAAGGACTGAATGTAGGAACTAAAATGTGCACCTGTCTGGTTAGGCCTGATACTTCTACTCAGCCTTTCTAAAATACCGCAGGCCTGCTTCCCCTGAGATTCAGTTGGGTAGGGGGAAAATAAGTGATGCACAGCGAAAGACAGTTTAAATTTAATTGTGACTTTGGGCTAGAAAAGCTGTGTGGTGGGAGCCAGAGAAGGGAGAATCAGTGGTTTCACCAGCCCTCATTTTTCCTTCCTCTTGCCTTCCATCATGTCTTGCCCTCAACAAGTGCTCCATATAAATTTAGTGAAGAAAGTGCCAGAGCACACTAGGGAACTCTCCCAGAGTGGCTGTGCTGAGGGAATGGACGGGGTGTTCTGGATAAGGGTCCCAGTTGCTTGGAAGTGCGCCCTCTGAGTGCCATTTAATGATACAAGTGCTGCCCTGGGTCAGACGTGTCCTGGCTACCTCCCAGACACCTGCCTCTGATGATAGCAGTCAAGGATGCACGTCACCATGATAGGTAAGTTGTCCCACTTGATTTATAAGCTCAGATTATATTGCATGTGCCTCAGATTCCTTTTTGTGTTATTTTTGTGATGAGGAAGAATCTGTGTTCAGAGTGCAGAATGGCTGTACTGTGGAAGAAGGATGAGTGTGATCTATGTGGCTTGGGTACCCTGTGGGTGTTGCCTTGTGCAAACTGCTAGGAGGCTGTGCCTTGAGGCCCTTCATTTCTAACACATCTGCTCTCAGGTGCCTCTAGAGATGCAGCACATTTCATTGAGGGAGAGAGGTTTAGGAAATGGCTGGGCGACACCTTGTGTAGAATATAAGCATGATTGCATGACGTGACCTTCAAGCCCTGAAATTCTAGAAGTATTTCTCTCAAGTTATGAATTCCGTTAGTGTGCTGCAGTTATG